CTAAAAATAAGTGAATATACATGAGATTTGAGATCAGTTGTATTTTATGCCATCCATGACACTTTTTATTTCTGATTGGTTTCTCATTATAAGTTATTGATTAATCAAGTTTTTCTTCTGACTCTATGTTCTGTTATATCCAACTATTACACAATCTTATTTAAATCGATATTAAAAGTAAATAGATGATTATATTTTGTCGGTTACTATGTGTCTTATAACATAGATACAACATATATATATACACTAGAAGGAAGAAATAGAGAAAATCCTACTTAACTCTACTATAAATCGATATTGTTATCATCATTAATTGTAGCTTATTTAAAACTATAAATATTATCCCCTTACGAATTGTAAATATCGATTATAAAAAGAGTGGGGACTAATTTCAAAAGTTTTTATAGGTTTCTTCCAGTTATTGAATAAACATTTAGACCCCGAATACCCTGGTACAGCCGAGGGTGGGGAGAGTTAGCTCTCCCTCTTCAAATTCTCTCACATGACCACTGTCAGCGATGTCCTATTCACTGTCTTCTTGAGGTATTATTGTTGTTTACAAAATCGAGAGGACGAAAACCGAATATCAGGAGCTTTAACTAGGTCGGCGGACGCGGTGTGTCGACCTAGGAGAATTGGGAAACCCTGATACCAAACATGAGCTCCAGGATCCTAAGGCAATAAATAGCGTATGAACCAACTATCGGTCACTAGTTACCATGGGACTGAATCACCTGACGTTGCTCCACTGCCTTGTGAATCAGATCTTCAGGTTAAAGGCTCCGAACATGACCCTTTAAGAAAACCACGTGCTTCGGTTTGGGCACCCGGGCAGTATCGCAGCCCACATACAAATCAAATGACATGTGTGGTGCATATGTATTCGGGGGCCCTTTGTACCAATATATATGTGTTTAAATAAATAGAATAAATGCCGATCGTGAATATCAATTACAAAAAAAGGGAAGACCGATTTCAAAAGTTTCTTCAAAGGTTTCTTCCAGCTATTGAATAAATGTTTAACTTTTCATTAGAAACTTTTATTAGTCGGAGTACCTAAAAGGATAATATCATTGAAGTCTTATTCAGTAAATGAATTAGGTTCTTTACTGTAAGACTAATGAACATTCGGTGAGACTATAATTTATGGATGAGCTTTGAGCGACAGCAAACTCACTTTAAGTGTTTACCTACTTACTAGGATTAAATGAAGGTTATAAAACAGTTTGAGGAGTAAGGATCATGATTCACAATTGATGATTTAGGTTAGGAGTTAGTTCCACAGTTTTTTAATATTATTATGAGGAAGTGACATCAGGCTAAAGTACCAAAACTCTATTTATCCAAATGGATGAATGATTTTCATGCCTAAATCTGTTTGATTCGTCAATAAATATTCATAGTCTCACTATGAATATTTTTCAAACAAACGTTCACACGCTAGACCGATAAGTCCTGGCTTCGAATCTCGTGAGATGAGATCGTTGCTGTGCACTTCTGATGAATCACATACTAAGAGAAAATAGCTGTCCAATGCTTCCACATTTTCTATGATGGTCTAGCTTCAATTGACTCATGATCTCAACTATTGTCATTCTAATGTGTTCTTTTTTGGCACACATATTCATTATGAAATAGATTTAAAGTATCATTGTTGTAAGTGAACTTACATTCAATGTCAAATAGTATCATATGAGTGATTTATTGATTTTAGAACAATTTACATGTTTATTTAATAAACAAAAATCAATATGATATAGTCATGTCATGAGTAGATTGTAAATAATGAATGATGAATAGGATGTGTAACATGTAAAATAAGTTATGTTTAATAGTTGAATTTATGAGTCAATTGAAGTTAGATTACCATGGAAAACCTTGAAGTACTGGATGACTATTTCGTCGTACTATGAGACTTCTCAGCAATGCACATCCATGATTCTGCATCACGAGATTTGAAAATAGGACCTATCGGTCTCGCATGAGAACACCTAACCTCTAGACCATTAAAATTGCCGGTATCCAACGGTGTTAATGTCTAACTTCGACTAATCCACGAAATTAAGCCACATGTCCACCATTGTCTTCAGTGGGTTACTATCTCACAACAGACACAATTGAACTTCACTGGTTACTGATTCTCACTAGGACCTCAGGATGTAACATCTTGAAGGCAGTCACTAGTGAGCATATGATGATGACAATCAGAGAGGGGTGTTAATGGATATTATAGTGATTTATTAGCTGAATTCATGAGTCAGTTGAAGCTATCCCCCCATGGAAAACCTAGAAGCACTGGACGGTCGTTCCACAATAGGACGAAACGGCCATCTAGTGCTTCCAGGTTTTCCATGGAGGTCTAGCTTCAATTGACTCATGATTTCAATCATTACATTACTATAATATCCACAATACTGTTAGAAAATTTTCCGTGCGAATTTTCATGAAAAAATAATTGTGTTTTGTTATTTGAAATAGTTTCATGAACTGATCTGAAAACTCCGGGATTCAATAGTGTGCGTGATGATGAATTCATGCTTCTGATAGGTATTGATATAAGATCAAATAGTTATTTAGTTTTATCTAATTTCCAACCTTTCTACAATTTGTGTCAGTTCAAATTGAAGGGTAAATAACCTGTAGACCCATGAAACTTTCTTATATTGCCTACTTTCAACAGTCTTGCGGAGTAACACACAAAAGAAAGAGTACAATACCAAGGGACATTTAAATTTTAAGTGGACATTCAAAAACACTCCCGTTATATAAGTTGTGTAAGATATTTATGTGTGTTGATTGTGTGTGACGGAAGTGTGAAGTGATGAGTTTGTGTGCGAGGTGGTCGTCCGCGTCTTCTGGAAAACTAGTACCCTGCCTAACCACTACATCACACTCCACTATTGCCCATCCGTTATGTCACATCATAACGATCGTCCATAACACGTCCTGTGCCTTCATCTACTAGACCGAGTCCGATTCAATATCCTTGAGGTGATCAGACGAACATACAGCCGGTCAGTAACAACCTGGAACTTCGTACGTACGTACATCAGTTCAAGTTGCCATACCACATTAGCACGGAGATGCAGTTATCGACTCAAATCCCGTAGTGGTAGAGGCGGTAAGAATATAAGCAGTAATCGGAGACATTAGGGTTTGAACATGTTATTCAAGGAGTATAATCCAGTGAAATAAATTTGGAAAGAGAAAAGAATAAAGGGACATGAAAAGTTCAGAAGATTAGAATTTGGGAGAACACAAAGAGTGGATGCACCTGCGCCATTGCAAACGATTTTGAGCCGTGTCATTCAGGGTCTCTAATCATCGGATGCTATCGTCTCACGGATCCCAACCAGGTAGTCTACACCTACCAACATGGCTCAGTCCGCTTGTCAGTGACTTCATGGACTTGTGCCATGTTGCCATCCTTACCTAGTACTCGTTTCCTAACAACTGTGTTACTTACTCCATGGTCCCAGGATATACGAGCAATATCTCGAAGACACCTATGATCAAATACTAGTAAACTACGGATATCCTCTACTCTTAACGGCCACGCTTCACTGCCATAAAGTAGGACGGAACGAACTTCTGTGCAGTAAACACGTCCTTTGGTTGATAGACGAATATCTCGCCTACGCCATAAATGACGCAAGTCCGCAAAAGCTAGCCTAGCCTTCTGTATCCGTTCTGAGATTTCGTCACACACCAGACCACAAGGGCTGATGAGACTTACAAGATAAGTGAAGCGGTCAACACGCTCAACTACTTCACTCCCTATCATTAGTTCGGGTGTCAATGCAACCCAATCCTGGAGCAACATTTTGCATTTCGAGGGGGAGAATCGCATCCCGAACATGCCTGCATTGTTGCTTAGATTGGTCAGAAGACTGCATTTTGTCAGCGTCTTCACCAAATAGAACTATGTCATCGGCATATCCTAAATCAAGAAGTGAATCTCTCGGCAGAAGTTCAACCCCTGGACGGCAGATGACGAAAGTGTTACCTCTAAAGGCACGTCAACGAGTGATCCATTGAATATCCTAATGAGTGTGTGAGTGAGTTAATGCATGAATGAATGCATGAATGAATGCATGATAGCGTGAAGGGGTGAATGAATGAATGAATGAATGATTAAGAGTGCGACACACCACTGATTGACTCGGTGCTCGCTTGTAAAACACTGAGACTGTGTACAGCAGTGATGCTGAACTGATTCTGACAATGAATACTTGTTTGTGCGTGTGTCTATGATGGTCAGTGTGGATATGTTCTGACGATGATCGTTCGCATGAGTGTAGTCGTTGAAGAGAGATTGGTGTGGGACAGATGGTTGTAGTGTAGTATGAGTGGAGTTGTTTCTGTATGGAGTAGATGTGATTCAGTATGTGGCATAGTTGTGTATGATGGTTTTGAGTGTGTGAGTGTATATATATATACATATACATATATATATACATATACATATATATATATGTGTGTTTGTGTTTATGTGTTCGTGGATTGATGAATGATTGAATTGAATTTGGATTGTGTTGATGGTGGACACAGTTGTGTTGGTTGTTCGTGTTGAGTGATGTGTGTACCGACATGATGATTTGTAACGTGGTGTGAATGAACGGTGTACATGTGGATGTATAGAGTGAATGTGTATGTTTGAGTGATTAGGGAGATGTGTATGACGAAGTGTAGTTTGGATTAGTGTGTGTGATGCAGCACAGACGAGGTTGATTGTGTCCTCGGTAGACTGAGGTGAGGCGTGTGTTTTTGTGAGTGAGTGATGATCGATCTGGTTGGTTGAGTTATATATATATATATATAAATTTGTGCATAATATTCGGTCACCTAACATACTTCTCCGTCCACCATTGAGTTTATGCTCAGGTATGTGTGTGGCAAGTCATGTATCGGTATTAGAATTCGGACAACAACATTCATAGCAGAACACAATTCAAAAGATCATAATGTAAAATGTCTAATAGTCTTAAGCTCGAACATACCCGATTAAAGAATACTCCGTCATATTCTCCGGATAATGAATATAATTCACGATTGGACATATGACATGATTGTTTGATTTTCTCTATATACCATTTATCATGTACAAGAGTTAAATCATCTTCATTGATAGGAATAGCCTATTAAAAAGAAAGATTATATAGTAGGAGATTATAGATTAGATATAAATCATAAGTAAATAGTTGCAGAGATAACACACAATTGAACTCAACACTTTTAAAGTTTATTGATCAACTTGATGAACTGATATAAATAGATTCAAGTGCAAAGGTTCACATTGTATTCCTTCAGCCGACTAATTACATAACCTGAGGATTATTGAATTCTTAAAATAATTATTATCTCACTATTAAGTTGTGTAAACTCTACTGGTTACAACTTCTTGATAAAAAAAAAACATATTTGCATATAAGCAAAGATGGATAGTGGCTAGCAGTGGAATCCAGGACGCGCGTTTCGTCCTGTTTGGGACTCGTCAGCTGGATGTACCTGCATCTCAGAGTTGATGTTCACTCTGGGACTCGAACTCAGTACCGTTCGATGCAGGTACATCCAGCTGACGAGTCCCAAACAGGACGAAACGCGCGTCCTGGATTCCACTGCTAGCCACTATCCATCTTTACTTACAATGCTTGTAAATTAAGGCAATATCGAGGCATACGCACAGTATGCACATATGCCAATAAGAGGCTGATCAATTTCAGTCCAAAAACATCAATGGGAAGATTCAAATAAAACAATATCAAGTGAATATTTGCATATAGTTTGTAATTGCAAGGAAATATCATTGCCAATTCATGAATGATCCAAATGGATACCAATATTGATCAATTGAAGACTTAATGTCATATCTAGAGCTTCGTTTCTTATTATACCGCTTTGGTACAGACTACCTGGTTGGGGACCGTGAGATGATAACAACCGATGGTTAGAGATCCAGAATGACATGGCTCAAAATCGTTTGCAATGGCGCAGGTGCATCTTAGAACTTCCTCGAGTTCACCTGTGGACCATCCTCACACTGAATTATCAACTTCGTTTAAATACAAACCTTTACAAATGATTAAATACATTTTAATTAAGCTATCGACTATCTATTCCCAGAATAGCTCGACATTGAAAACGATAGGTTCTGGAATTTAGATCATTATGTGAACATCAACACTAAGATATAAGTGTAAATCCATCCAATAAGTTATAAATAGGTCGAAACATGAGTTCTGAATTCCATTGTTAGCTACATACTAAAGTTACCTAAAAATTTAAAAATTGAATTCATGATTCAATTGAATCTAGACTACCATGAAAAACCTGGAAGCACTAGACGGCCGTTTCGTCCTAGTATAGGAATCCTCAGAAGTGAGCATCCACGATCCCACCTCGCGAGATTCGAACCCAGAATCTTTCGGTCTCGACCAGGATGCGAATATGACAACAGGGACTGATCAAAGCTCAGTTTTAACTATCGACAGCAGAATAATACAAACACTAACAAATATACGTTCAGGCATTTTTGTGATTGTGTAATTCTGTGAAAGATATGAACAACAATTCCAGGACATCATTTCAACTGTGAAATCTACGCACAGCAAATAGTTCTCATTGATATTAATTAATCTTAAAAAGTAGGCAGGAAACCTTGGATTTAGGTTTTGTGCTGATGAAAATTAACTTCAAGTCAATCAAATTATCACTATTAATCTATAATGACGACTTAGTTGAATATTTAGTTAAGGGAATGGAGTTCTGACCCAGTTGATGGTCTGAACTTCGGAGGATTATCATATTAAGACGACACAATTGTCTCATACAAATCCTACTTTAAACAGTTCCTCACAGTTGATACCGAAATGACCAAATGAACTAAGGTAGTTGAACAGATAAGTTACTAACATGATCGATCCAATTGAGTATACGAATGTGTATTAATGAATTGAAACTCTCATTTGATTGTCCTATATTCAATCAAAAGCGTATCACTTATTGGAATCAATCAGGATTTTTTTAAAAAAAAAAGAAACGAAGTTCCTAATATAACATATAATCTTTCATTTCTGCTTATAGTTTAACATAATCCCTATGAATAGTTGTTATTTAGGATAAATAATCTGAAGACAATGGTGGACGTGTGGATCAATTTCGTGGATTAGTTGAAGTTAGACATTAACACTATTAGATACCGGATCAATGGTTTAAAGGTTAAACGTTCGCATATGAGACCGATAAATCCTGAGTTCAAATCCCACGGGTTAGGATCATGAATGCATATTGCTGAAGAGTCCTACAGTAGAACGAAACAGCCGTTCAATATTATCAGGTTTTTCATGATGATCTAGCTTCAATTAACTCATGAACTCAACTATTGAAACTACTACTATAATATCCATACACAAAAAAACCCTTTCTGATAAAAAAAAATAGAAGAAGGACAGTTGGCAACAATTCTTAAAACATTTTTTGGCATTCATTTCATTCAATCCCCCCCCCCGCACCGTTTTTGTTTTTTTCATTCTAACTAACTTTCATTTTTATTCATTTTGATGTTTTCATATGAAGTGATATGGTTTAATCGATTAGTGTTTGTAATTATGAATGTAGATATATGACTGATTATAATTTTGATAAGTCCTGTCGATTGAACGCTATATTCGTTTTCCTAAGCTATTTCCCGTAACCCGCAGTCTAGAACTACACAGCGACTTGAACACCAGAGAGAAGACACAAGTATGAGAGAAAATACTTTATCCTAAGGTTTATTCTTGTACAGAAAATCAAGGGGATTTATAGATGTTGGCGTCTGTTAAATCAACATCATATTTCAGCCAATCCGTTAACGACATATTATGCTACCGACCAATAGTAGCACGCCACGTAGGAACTCCAGAACGTTCCATCATACTCTGATTGGCTAGGTCCCTTCGGCTCCTTTTGGGCCTCTGGAGGCTCCGTTGAAGTTCTCCGGAAGCCGACTCAACAAATTTATGTTAAATCTTATATAGAATTGATAAGGAAACTATGTTCATTTTAAGTTGATGATTGGATTATAAAGATTAGTTGCACTACTTTATTGATTTATGATGATTATTGTAGATTCTGACTTTTATATGGTCACTTAATAAAATCAATATCAGAAGGGGTTTTATTGATATTATAATAATTTCAATGGTTGAGATCACGAATCACTTGAAGCTAGACTAATATAGAAACACAATTGATTGATCATTGGGTGGTGACCAATGTTATGTGTGTCAAGCTTTTATTAGTGCAGATAGAATGCTATCGACCATGATACAATATGGTCACCAGTCTAGGTGACTCGACACTGCGTGCACTATTGTGAGATTAAATGGACCACTATGGGAAACTTGGATGCGCTGGATAGCCGTTCCGTCCTATCGTGGGACTCCTCAGCAGTGCGCATCCATGACCCCTCACACGGATCTCAGTCGCAAGACTTTTGATCATTCGCGAACGCTTGACCTCCGAACCACTGAGTTGGCATCCAATGCTGTTAATGTTCAACTTTAACTAGTTCCGAGAGGTAATTCTCAGAGTTCCAGTGAGAAACTATGACCAGTAGAGTTCAACCGTGTTGGATGTGAGGCAGTTACCCACCTAAGACAATGGAAGATGGTAGCGTAACATCGTGGAATGGTTGAAGCTAGACATTAACACCGTTGAATACTGGCTTAGTTGTTGAGAGGTTAAGCTTCACGAGAGATCAAAGGTCCTGGTCTCAAATTTCGCTTGGGGAATCGTGGTTACTTACTGAAGAGGAGTCCCATACTAGAAATAAACGGCCTTCTCATGCTTCCAGGTTTTCAATGGTGGTCTTACACTGATTAGTTCATGATTTCAATAAACTGAAATTGTTCTGTTACTTATTTTCAACCTAATTAACATGGAAATTGTATTCCAAATTAAACTCCAGTGAGAAAAATAAACCAAAATAGAGTTGTTTATTTCTTAAATGTAGACATACAAAAATACATCCAGTCAAATGTACCAAATGAAAGTTCACCAATTTGTATGTAAATAAAGCAATTTATTGATTTACTGACAACATTATTTACAAATGCTACTAATGAACATGATGGTTCACTACGTCTAATAATCATTTTGTACTAGGTTATTGAAATGAAAGTTAAAAGAAGCCAAACCAGAACGTGGCATCAGTCTATAAGGTTACTAACTTCTAGTCTGAGCCATGTTGGTTGATGTGGACTACTTGGTTGAGATCCGCGTGACCATCGTAACTAATGGTTGTAGTATTCTGTGTGACATGGCTTAGAATCGATCACAATGGCATCGGTATATACACTCTTTGTTTTCCTTTTAACTAAGAGATTAGAATCGCTTCACTTCACTTCTATCTGAAGTTTGTGCTGATGATGTCGTTCAGAAGAACGATGAAAGCTCCACGACCAAACCATCCAGCTCAGAGAACAAAACTCCATCAAAATCGCTTCATATCTTTCTTTCTACGAATTAATTCTTTCTTCCTGTATCATATGCTTATATGCAATCTTTCTTTTATATATTACTCAATTGAGGTAACACTAATTCAGGTTCGTACTGATGATGCCATTCAGAAGAACGACGAAAGCTCCACGACCAAACCATCCAGCTCAGAGAACAAAACTCCAACAAAATCACCCACCTGAGCTACAAATCTTCTCCACCATCTCAATGATTCTCTAACTAAAATTAACCTGTGATCAACTCATAATTCTTGTACTATTAATAGACGTTAGTATGTTACGTATCATTTTTATATAAGATTTGATCTGATTAACCGACTTTGTAATAGACCTTAGAATCCATAAGAATATGGAAATTTCTTTGATGTTATAAATAATATTAGAAACATCTCTCGCGCAAAATCGACAAGTCCTGGGTTCGAATCTCGCGAGGTTGGATCATGGATTCGTACTGCTGAGGAGTTTCACAATAGAACGAAACGACTATCCAATGCTTTCAGGTTTTCCACGATGATCTAGATTAAATTAACTCATGATCTCAAACTATTAAAAAACTACTATAGTACACATAAAACCCCTTCTGATACTAATAAACTATCATTGGAAATTGATGTAATATGACATAGTTTAAAGATGACATCACATTCTTTACTCTTGAATACTTTATTAGTCGGTATCGATTGAAGTTTTAATGAAATCTGTCATAAATTTATGAATTGAATATAGTTTAGATAAATATCTCTTAATGATGAATAATGATTCTTGCATTAAAATGGTATTTCAAATGATACTATGATAGCTTTAAATGAAGTAATTATTATGTAACTAAACTGATGTCATTTCTAAGTAGAGATGGATAATGACTAGCAGTGGAATTCAGGACAAAGTGGGTTTCGTCCTATTTGAGACTCATCAGCTGGACGTACCTGCATCCCAGAGTCGATGTTGACTATGGGACTCGAACACAGTACTATTCACTTCAAACGCCATGGGAAGATACAAGTAAAACAACACCAAGTGAATTTAAACTGATGTCAGTTTGGTAATCTCTATAAAATGAGTCCATTCATTATCATAAATTTTAATGAGTTTCTTATACAGTCTGGTTTAATAATTCTTCAATGCCATGAATACTCACCACTATGGATTGGACTTAGGACTTCCGAAATATTACACCAAGCAAGTTACCACTTATGGATTAAAATACTGTCCAATTTAACCTTAATCAGCTTAACTGATATCATATGTTCGTTGGTGAATAACTTCAAAATTACTTGCTGAGGTTCTAATGGGTTGTTGTGACAGATGGATTTCAGGTTAAATCAATAATAATGATACAGTCATGTGGAAGATTAGGAGGACCAGTTAAATAGTTACTGAAATGAGCAGATGCAACTTGCTGGTTCTCTGATTCAGTGAAATCCATTAGACCCAAGCTGAACAGGACAGATTTGGGAGAGATACTGTTGTACTCTGCTCACGAAGAAGAAAGTACTCCACAGACTCAAGGAGCTTTTCTGATGCTATACAAAGAAGCAGATAAGGCACTTGTTAGATAGAAGGCTCGTGGAACCAGATTCATCAAAACATTTTTCAGAACAAAGAAAGAGGGAATTACAATGAATGTTATTCGATTTTAGACACCCACCAATGATAGCAATGAAGACGATAAATATTTGTTTTACGATAAGCTACAATCGATCATAGAAAAGTGCTTAGGAAAAGATCTGACCACCATGATGGGAGACTTAACGCCAAGGTCGGGATGGACAATACTGAGCATGAAGATATCATGGGACGATATGGAGTGCCTGGGAGAAAGGAAGGAGAATAGTGACACATTTGCAAATTTATATGCATTCAACAAAATGGTTATAGGTGGCACAATATTCCCCCACAAAGCCACATAGGTCTCACGGAATCACACTACAAAGAACCAGATCGATCATATTTGCACCATTAAAGAACTCAGAAGGTCAATGGAAGATGTGAGAATCAAGAGAGTTGGTGACATAGCTTAAAATCACCACTTGGTTGTGGCCAAGATGAAAACAAAGCTAAAGAAGCGTTGGACAACTGGGGAAACAGCATTACAAAGGTTCAGTACAGCCTTCCTTAGGGATACTGACAAACTCAAACAATTCAAGATAGCTCTCAACAACAAGTTCCAAGCCCTACAAGATCTATTCAAAGAAAGAGAAACTTCTATGAACGACAACTAGAAAGGGATCAAAGAAGCACTAGCTTCAACATGTCAAGAGGTTCTGAACCACAAGAAGCGTCATCATAAGGAATGGATCTCTATCGAAACCATAAGCAAGATTCAAGTAAGAAAGAACAAGAAGACAGCAATTAACAACAGCCGAACAAGAACGGGGAAAGTCAAGGCGCAATCTGAATACACAGAAGCAAACAACCGAGTGAAAATGAGCATTAGAGCTGACAAGCAGAAATATATGAATGAGCTATCAATGACAGAGGAAAAATCTGCAACAGAAGGAAATACGAAACAACTATATGATAAAACGAAGAAACTTGAAGGGAAATATAGTAAACCAGAGAGGCCATTCAAGGACAAAGAATGCAAGCCAATCACTGAGATTCAGGAGCAGAAGAACAGATGAGTAGAACACTTTGGGGAACTCTTCAATAGGCCAGCTCCAATTAATCCACAGGACATCGAAGCAACACACACAGACCTTCCAATAGATGTCACTTCACCAACGACGGAAGAAATCAGGATGGCCATTAGACAAATCAACAGTGAGAAAGCTGCAGGATCTGACAATATACCAGCTGAAGCACTGAAGTCACACATAGAAGCAGCTGTAAACATGATCCACATTCTATTCAGAAAGATTTGAGAGGAGGAACAAGTGCCACCGACAGACTGGTGCCAAGGATATGTCATCAAGATACCAAAGAAAGGCGATCTCAGCAAATGTGAGAACTATAGAGCAATCACACCACTGTCGGTATCAAGAAAAGTTTTCATGAGAGAACATTATAAAAACTTCTTCGACATTATGGTGTGTCTGAGAAAATCGTCAACACCGTATGAAACTCTTAAGACAGATTATACTGAGTTGTCTATGGAGGACAGTGTGTGATTAGTAGAGTTTAAGAAAGAAACACTAGTTGAATGGCTATTTAAAATGATAGTATAGAACTATATGAAGATTGGAAGTTGAAGTCAAAAGGGTGATGCATTATTTAATTTAAACATATTACTGGAATTAATTTGAGTGGACTGTAATAGAGCTAAGCTTGCTTGCTTGTTAATAGTTTAGAATGACTTCGTAGTGCTAACATCATGTCGACTATCGATGGACTGAAAAATAATCCTGTTGAAGGTAACTCGCAACCCAAGCAGCTAAGTAGTGACCTTTTAGACTACGAAGATGACTCATACGGGTTCGAATTCAATAGGTAATACCGGTTCCTCCGAGACGGCAAATAGGAATTCCGGATGATTATTGACCGTTTCCTATCGAACACCTTCAAACACATCACCTATGACCTCACTTTCTTCATGTCTTATGGTCTATCTATTTTGGCTGTTGAGATTACTTAACTCATAGAGTTATTTAGATACTTTTGAGAAATTCACACTCACTTATCCCGTAAATCATCATTCTTGTATGTTACTCTCTTATATCTGACTTTTGTTTACTTCAGATTTCAGTCATATTTTTGAGAATACAACACCAATTTCGGGTTGTATAAATCGATGAAATGATAAATTCACTTGGTATTGTTTACTTAAATCTTCTCATTGATGTTTAGAACTGAAAGCGATCAATACCAAGTGAATTTAAACTACCCCCCATTGCACAATCAAGTGGCTATCAGGACTCAGTAGCTAAGTGAATAACACGATGGTTTTTGTAGTGAAGGGTAATAGGTTCGAGTTCAAGAGTGAAGGTTAACGAGTTTGAGATGCAGGTACATCCAGCTGACGAGTCCTAAATAGGACGAAACGCGAGTCCTGGATTCCACTGCTAGTCACTATCCATCTTTGCTTACGATGAAATGATAATTTTTATAAAACTGTTCATATTAACTTGTAAAACACTTAACTTACCGGTACTCGTATACATCGTGAAACTAAATTTTCTTCTACACAACGATGAAATGCTTGTTGAATACGACGTGGACTTTCTTGTTCTTCAATAAACCACTCATGTTTATGCTTAAGCATACGTTCATCATAAACTAGACCCGTTGATCTACACAAGAAAAGGATCGATGAACTATTTATAGCTTAAACAGATATCAATGAATAAGAACTTTGAAAATTCTAAAGAACATTGATAATTCTTAGTATCTTGTAATTCATTTAACGCAACTATACGGATATAGAGGATCCATTTAGGGAAGTTAATAAACCCTGATTCCAAACCAATGGTACACAAGGGCTCCAGGATCCTGAGGAAATAAATCACGTATGAACCTATTGTTGGTCACCGGCTACTATGGGACTGAATCTCCTGACGCTGCTCCACTGCCTTATGGATTAGACCTTTAGGTAGAAGGCTCCGAGTGTGCCCCTCCTTAAGGAAGCCACCTGCTTCACTCTGGGTACTCAGCCAGTATCACAACCTACACACAAATTGAATGATTTATGTGGCACATATGTATTCGATGCCCCTTGATACCAATATCTATGTGTTCAAATAAATAAATAACGCAACTACGGATTGATATCAATGATGTGGCTATTGGCAATGTTCTCTATCTCTGATAACTGTGTTATATCCAGGACTTTAGGCTGTCTGCCAGTTCATTTGGTGGAAGGGTATTGGATATTGACGAGCAGTTTCTTCAAAAATTTGATTTCAAGAGTCTGGAGTTGTTTGTAGCTGTCGTCTGAGAACATGTACAATGTAGCACAACAAAACATTCCAAATGAGAAACACAAAAATTACAAGATTTAGGGCTTGAAATGATGTGTTTAACAAAAACCAAACTGTAATGTGGAGTAGCTACCTACTAAATGGACTTAATGATGGTCGTTAGTGACGGATACCACACACTTAGTAAGTATTAAAAGCGTGACGGATAACATCAGCCTGCCCATAGGTAGTGAAAACCGCTAAAATATCTGGAATACAGTTAATCAAAAGGACTGTTCAATATGCAATAACAACTTAATAGAATTATTGGAATGACTACTGTGGGTGAACTGAAGACTTACATACGAAACTGATCCTTAAACTGCAACTGAATAGATCTTAGTAGACTGGTCTATTGTATAACTGACTGAATATGTGAATGAGACAATCTATACTATAATTAATCCTGTAAAGTGTTCAACCGAGATTTAACAATTTGCTTATTATGAAGATTATAAATTGATTAACGTAACTTCAATCTCCCTCTCGTAACTAAGTTTCCTTTCTTACTGAAGAATAATGAAGCACATATTTCTAAGGAACCGATCAAAATACTCCTCATTTAGTAATACTAGATTACCAATACAATAGTGTAGGTTGTAGTTAGACAAAAACCTGACTTACAACCGGTTACTAGCTCCAATCCTCTATTGATCAGTCCGAATGGTTCACATTTATTGGGGACTTTTTATGCCCAACTTTTTAATTTTCGTATCGAATCGTTAGTAAAGGGTTGTGGAGATTGTTGAGTTTCATTCAAATCACGAACTTAGTTAGATCAACCTTCAAAACCTGGAAACATTGGACGGCTGTTTCGTCACAGTTTGGGATTACTCAGCGATGAGCATTTATAACCACACACTCAAGGATCGAACCCAGGACCTGCGGTCTCATGTAAAGAATTTGCACCAGAACTCTATTTACACAAGAATCTTGAACATCAAGGATTCACTCGACTATTGTAAGACTATTCGTCCAAATTTAGGATGTTTCATTCTTTATAAAACATTTTTGACAAATCAAGTTGTCTAGTTGACTGATCTAGTTTACTTCCGTTCTCCAATCCACTCAGTTATTTCATAAATTTATTTACTAACCCTGTAAGTAGACTTGAGAGAATATTATTGAAGGACACTTATCAAAGTCACCATCCTTTAGACCAGCTTTCCATTTGAAACTTTACAAAAATAGGTTTATATTATCTTTACTTGTAAAGTGAGAATAAACTTAATTTATCTTCGTATAAACCAAAGTTAGACATTAACACCGATGAATGCCAGCTCAGTGGTCTAAAAGTTAAGCGTTCGTGCGCAAGACTGTTGGGTCCTGGGTCCGGATCTCGTGGGGAGGCGGGATCATGGATGCGCACTACTGAGGAGTCCTATGTTAGGACGAGACGGCCGTCCAGTGCTCCCAAGTTTTCCATGGTGGTCTAGCTTCAATTGACTCATGAATTCAATTATTAAACAACAAAACAGATGTAGATCGGGCACAGGATTTTATTCGAATTCCAGTTATAAACAATATTGAGTTATTTTTCTAATCCTAACTTATTCAGTTTACAATACGATCTATTTACCAATGTAATATATGTCAGTATAATCAAACAGCATTTCATTGAATAAGGCAAATGTAAATTCTACTTTAATTAATCAAAAGTGATTGATTAAGTAGACATATATGATATAAAAAGCTGCTATTGTAGCTTGAATTACTGGCAATGATAACGTCATGAACAAATGCTATATACTGGAATATTCTTACACTGTTAGCCCCCAAATGCCCTGGTATGGCCGAGAGTGGAGAGAACTAGCTCTTCCTCTTCAAATGCTTTCTTATGGCCAAATGCATACAAGCACTGACAGGGAAGTTCTATTCATTGCCTTTCGTCGCGGGGGTGTTGTTTACGAAATTCAGGGGAAGAAAAGCGAATGTCTGTCAGGCGCTTTAACCGGGTTGGTGGACACAGAGAGTCCATCTGAGGGAGTTGGAAAACCCTGATTACACATCAATGGTGCACGTGGGTTCCAGTATCCTGAAGGAAAAAATGGCGTATGAACCAACCGTTGGTCATGGGCTATCATGGGACTGCATCTTTCCACGTTGCTCCACTGCCTTATGGATTAGACCTTCAGGTCGAAGGCTCTGGGTGTGGCTCCCTAAGGAAACCGCCTGATTCGGTCTGGACACTCGGGCAGTATCCTAGTCTTCACACAAATCGAATGATTAATGTGGTGTATATCTATTTGGCGCCTCCTTGAACCAATGTTTATGTGTTTAAATAAATAACTTTCTAATTTTCTCTTTCTCATTCATTTATTACACTGATCTCTAGTATTTACTTAAGGTGTACACATATACCTCATAGGCTCTGTCAGGATAAGATAAGTAGATATGTGAACTTAAGAATTCACTATGGGATCATAGTGATACTACATACATCGATATAATAAATTATGTTCCATCTAGGTAATACAGTTTTGTAATCAACAAATGAAATACTAAAGTATTCGAGTTTATCCAACGAAGAACAAATGGGAAGAAAAAATAAATTTCTAAATAGACAGAAAGTTTCAATGGTTAAGATCATGAGTCAGTTGAAGCTAGACCACCCTGGAAAACCTGGAAGCACTGGGACCTACTGGTTTCGCGCTCAAGCACTTAACCACTAGACCACTGAGCCGGTATCCAAAGGTGGTCTAGTGGTTAAGTGCTCGCGCGCGAAACCAGTAGGTCCTGGGTTCGAATCTCGCAGGGGGCGAGGTCGTGGATGCGTACTGCTGAGGAGTCCCGCGATAGGACGAAACGGCCGTCCAGTGCTTCCAGGTTTTCCAGGGTGGCCTAGCTTCAACTGACTCATGATCTTAACCATTGAAATTACTACAATCTCCACAAAACCCATCTGAGACAGAAAGTTGTTAAATGCCTATTGATCATATTCTATATCGATCGTTTTTGACTCAAATCAGACTAGCAACTTATAAAGCTTAGAATATAATGTACATTTGTTATTCTGATTGGTTCATTTATCGCTCATCATATTTAGCTTTTCAGTGATCAATGAACCGTTGATCGATTAACTTTAAATGAACAGCTTGCCAAAAATTGCCAATGTTCAGTTTGCCGAATGGATCAATTATACATCTATCACGCTTCATGTGACTGAATTGTATGGTCTATGAAATCCTAATTCATGCGTAGATCCAGAGATAAAACTAGAATCTATCAAAAATCAAGCTATACAACAATGTCATATAATCTTAGAAGGGGATTTGTGGATTTTATTGTAGTTTTAATAGTTGAGATCATGAATCAATTGAAACTAGACCACTATGGAAAACCTGGCGAACTGTTGGATGCTGGTAAGTTCAGTGGTCTAGAGGTTAAGCGCTTACACACGAGACCGATAGATTGTGGATTCAAATCTCAAGAGGCGGTATCATGGATGCATACTGCTGAAGAGTCCCATACTAGGACGAAACGGCCGTCAAGTGCTTCAAGGTTTTTCATGGTGATCTAGTTACAATTGACTCATGATCTCAACCATTAAAATGTCATATAACATAATACATGATAAAAGCAACATAGCAAAATATAACTTACTGTGAATTTTGTGATATTACACTAGTAGATGGAGGCGAAACTTGTCGATGTCCACTTTGTTTAAGTACTGTCCGAGTAGTTTTCAATCTTGATTTGATTGTTTGCTTTTTCATAACATTAAATTTCTTGTTTTGTACTTGATGACAGCAGATACATGATTTATCCCTTGGTGCCTAAAAGGGTAAATATGATCAATATTATAAATATACCATTAAGGAGATAGTACGCCTTTTCTTTTTTTTTTCAAATCTTAAAGAATGTATTACATGTTGTATTCATGAAGATGCTATCAACAGACTGTATAGTGATCAATTACAAATCATCAAACCTTTACAACAGACAGAAGAGTGAGATAATTACAACTGATTTAATAAGTAGACAATGTGATACATATGGGGATTATAAGCCAGTCGTGTAGCTACCTAAATCTTATCTTCTATGGTATTAACGGCCCTAAGTAGTTCTGTGTGAAATACCCAACAACTGAAAGAATTTGTCTACATTATTTATTATGGAAAGAATGAATCCTCATTTTCACTATCTAGTAAAGGGGATGAAAAGTTTTGAGGTTAAGTATTTAGTGTTTATACAGGACATGGATTTTCCGGTGAGACTATAATTTATGGACGACTTTTGGGAGACGCTGAAGTGACCTTGAGAGTGTCCACCTAATATCTAAGACCAAATGAGGGTTATGAAACATTGTGAGGCATTAGAATGATGATTTTCAGTTGATGGTCAAGGTTAGGAATTAGATTTATGGTTTACATCATGAATTGACGTCAGCTGTAATGCCAAAACTCAATTTATCCAAATGGATGAGTGAATATCGCGCCAAAATCCGAAATCTGTTATCTTATACTTGATTGGTTCGTTCATAAATGATAGTCTTGCCGATTTTCGTCTAAAAAATACAGGCTGACACAACTATCTGTTGAGGTCCGCTTTTCAGTGAGGTACTTGATACATATTAATTTATGCCAATCATTTTAGAAAGTTCCTCAACTCAATATTCTTTCAAAACTTCGGTCCACTAAAAGTCTTTGTTTACATTAATGGGGTGTTATAAATTATATATAACAGTCAATATTATCAGAGAATAAGACTCTAGGTCAATATCATTAGTAAATAATATGTACCTAGGTTAGTTACGTGTAGTTCGAGAAAGAGAGAGAGGACCAACATTTGACTTCTAATCTGTGGTCTATGGGTTACAAATACTACCCTATCTCTGATGTTTACAAAGTCACTTATAGTCAGTCAGTCAACCACAACGTAGGACCAGTCACATATATGCGTCGGTCCAAGTTGCCACACCATGAGAACAACAAGATGAACACCGGATTCATAAAAGTAGTTAATTCAGAGGTGGTAATATATATAAGAAAGATTGCAAAAAGGATATAGTACAGGAAGAAAGAATTAGTTCGTGGAAAGAAAGTTATGAAGCGATTTTAGTCTCTTAGTTTAAGGGAAGACAGGGAGTGTATACACGAGGACCCCAACCAAGTAGTTTGTATCTACCAACATGGCTCAGACTAGAAGTTAGTGACTTCAAGCACTGATGCTACGTTTTGGTTTGGCCGCCCCTAACTTTCTTCCAACCATCTCCAACACCGGTTAGCATTGCACGTCGTGGTAATCGGTGTTCAGGAATACGTAACACGTGGCCCAACCATCTCAGTGGATGAAAATTCACAACCTCATAAACTGATTTACCATCATTCCCTAATACCCTGCGTCTAACCTCACTATTACTTACCCGGTGATCCCAACAGACGCCAGCAATATTTCTAAGGTATCTGTGGTCAAATACTAGTAGCTTACGAGTGTCTTCTACTCTTAATGGCCATGTTTCGCTGCCGGTTAATTTATGATCAGTTTGATTTCAAGATGGAATAAATTATAGCATAACATAAGTAAGAGAAATATTGAAAACCGAAGGATACTACAGACGAATTTGTCATTCTATTTTCTAACACACTATCCATCTATATCTTATCACATATGCTTGTTATTCAAGATTGATTTGAAAACGTTCATTCATCATATGATGACAGTATATCATTATTGTAATCTTCTAAGAAAGTTGTACGCTCATTTGAGATTCCTACGAGAATTTTTGTTTTATGTAATTGAATAACAAGAAAAAAAAGGATTTTTGTAAAGTTCATTCTACGGACTGAAATACATTTTGTGTTACTACACAGTACTAAGTAAATTCATAAAAGTACCCTAAAACTTAATTCTCAAAACATGCAAAATAATGCTTTCTCATCAGGTCGTTTTTTCTGTTCGAATTCATTGTTCATTGTATCCATTGTATTCGAATGCCCTGGTACGATTAAGGGTGTGGAGGGACCCCAAGACCCTCAGGAAACAAAAGGTGTATGAACCAATTGTTGGTGATCGGCTACTACGGTACTGCATCTACTGACGTTGCTCCACTGCCTTGTGGATAAGAGCTTTAGTTCGAAGGCTACAGGTGTAATCTCCTAGGTATACCATCTGCTTCGTTCTGGGCGCCTGGGTAGTATTATAACCCACACATAGATATTGGTACAGGAAGGCAACAAATACATATGCACCACACAAATCTCATTTGATATGGGTGAGGGCTGTGATACTGCCCGGGTGCCCACATTGAAGCAGGTGGTTTTTTTAGGGGGCCACTCCCCGAGCCTTCGACCTGAAGGTCTGATCCATAAGGCAATGGAGCATCGTAAGGAGATGCAGTCCCATGGTAGCCAGTGATCAACGATTGGTTCATACGTCATTTGTTCCTTCAGGATACTAGAGCCCATGTGCACCATTGATGTGAAATCAGTGTTTTCCAACTCCCCCAGATGGATTCTCTGTGTCTATCAACCCGGTTAAAGCGCCTGACGGACATTCGCTTTTCGTTCTCTGAATTTCGTAAACAACACCCCGGCCAAGAGAAGGCACTAAGTAGTACTCACTTATAACCCACACACAAATCAAGTGACTTGTGTGGCGCATATGTATTCGGTGCCCCTTGGTACCAATATTTATATGTTCAAATAAATAAATCCATTACATAGCACATCCACACAAAAAACACATCGGAATTTATTCAATAAACAATCTAAAGTTTCATTTTAAAAATAATCAAAATGAAAACAAATAAACTAGAAATTAAAAAAAGATGGATAGTAGCTAATAGTGAGATCCAGGATGTGCGACACTTCGTCTTATTTGGGCCGCATCAGCTAGATGCACTTCACCCCATAACTCGAACCTAGTACCATTCGCTTCAAATGCCATAACATTATCCACTAACCTAGTGAGGCTGATAGCCATCTGTTTGTGCAATAGAGTGAAATTTAAATTCACTTGATATTGAGATGATGGAGAAGATTTGTAGCTCAGGTGGATGATTTTGGTGGAGTTTTGTTCTCTGAGCTGGATGGTTTGGTCATGATGTTGTTTACTTGATTATTCTCATTGTTATTTAGGACTACAATAAATCATTCTCTTGTTAGTATATATCCATAATATGCGTACTGCCTCAATATTATCTTAATTCACAAGCCTTTATAATCAAAGATGGATAGTGGCTAGTGGCTAACAGTGGAGTCCACAACGCGTGACACTTCATTCTATTTCAAACTCGTCAGCTGGATATATCTATATCTCAGAGTTGATGTTCATTCTAGCATTCGAACCCCCTCTTGTTCACTTCAAACATCATCACGTTGGGAGGCAAAATCTGACTCACACGTCCGCGTCATACCTTCTGGATAATGAGACGAATGACTCATAAACTAACGTGAGCGATAACCCGGGTGGTGGTGATCGAGCTAATTACCCACTCTTACTTATACCCACCAAGTGATTACGAACTCCACAGATAAATATAGCACAACTATCTACTTAACTACTAAACCATTTTTTATACAATCGGGTGAATTGAAACTAGAAAATATTTTTACCATAGAACAAACAAACAAAAACAACAAAAAAACATTTTTTTCTCATTAAATACGTGAATACATATATACATAACAAATTACTTACATTTCTCATTGTATACTGTAATTGAATACAGTGTAAAATACTACTAATAATATAAATAATCAGTATTATAAATCATATAAATCACTTATGTTACATAAATCATAATTGGTGTTTGAACCAACGCCCTAATTCTTGATTGGTTCACATGGTATCGATTTATTGTTGTTGTTGTTGCTAGTGGTGGTGGTGGTGGTGGTGATGGTGTTATATTATGATGGATTATTCTAACGTCATAACAGTATCTGAGGCATCAAATGAATAGTCAATGATACATTTCTAAAGTATATTCATCATAGAAATATAGTTGCCAAGGGAAAATACTTTTTTTTAAAAATACATGCATCACTTCAATTGTTCCATCAAATAGATTATAGAGAAATGATTCAATAAGCTTAGGAGTAAGAAAATGGTATTCAAATGTTGAGATAGATATATACATGTACAGATATATTGGAATGTTAATAAGAATAAAGCGTATGTATGTATGTATGTGAATGTTTGAGTATCTATATTGTTCCAATCAATTCTTTAACTAACATCAAAGTGTAAGTGTTAAGTTAACAACACTTCTATATACATAGTAGATCAATCCTGTAGATGATACGTTTCAATGATTGTTTTTTCTTAGTAAACTATCTTAGTATTTTGTTATTGAAAGTAAGATTAACGAATACCATTGTATTGTAGATATATCTAGATGATAAGGTATCAGTGAGGCATAGTTACTTACGCCTGTTACTCTCAATGGAACATAGGCTGCTGACCAACATTCTCCAACCTACTCTGTCCACGAACTTCCTTTCCAGTTCTATCCAATTTTTATTGATTATTCCTATGTTTATCTCCATTTCTCAGCTTAATATGTTCTTTGGTCTTCATCTCCTCCTTTAGTCTTGAGGATTCCAAGTGAGGGCTTATCTTGTGACGCAATTGGGTGCTTCCTTCAATGTATGTTCTATCTACTTCTAGCGGTTCTTTCTGATTTCTTCCTCCACTGGAATCTGGTTTGTTCTCTCCCATAGTAGGTTAATGCTGATAGTGTTTGGTCAATGGATCCGAAGTATTTTGCGTAGACAGTTGTTAATAAACGATTATGTCTTCTGGATGATGGCTTTCGTAGTTCTTCAAGTTTCCGCGCCATGCAGTAGAACTGCCTTGACATTTATATTGAAAATTCTGACTTTGGTGTTGGTTGACAGACAGCTGTTTTGAGTTCCAGATGTTTTTCAGTTGAAGACATACTAATATTAGTAAATAATAACTTGAATAAAGTTATGGATATAGGCTTTGTGCTTGAGTTTCGTGCTAGTGGGCGTTTATCCATAACGTGTATGTTCAGTTTTCAGGGAACTAATACTTTCGGTAGGATTCAAGCTAATATCACTGTCAAAGATATTATCACTCGATCATTTGAATTGTAACTGAGCTCTTAAAAGACGAAGATATTAACACTGACTAATCACAAAGTTGTGACCAATATACAGGTAATTCATTTAGGCCAACTAGAGAATAGTAAGAATAAACGCAATACATTCGAGATCCGAAGGAGAAGTCGTACTGCAAACTGTATGGACGTGTGACGAGTGTAAGGCACCTTTCACAAACGACCAGTATCTAGAGAGCTCTGTCTTTCCGCGATCGGTGAAGGGATTAGAGGATTCTAACACTGAAAATAACATATCTCCCCCTCCTTACAGATTTACTGTATATGCAGCAGAGTCGAACATAGTGAGGCACACATTAAAAATTACTTGCAAAAATATCGTGTGTGACTGACCACAAGCGGTTGTTTCTCAGGTTATGCAGTCATGCTCCTAGATTGCCATGTTCACACCCGACATTATTTTTTTCTCAGGTACCTCCAGTAGAAATATCCTTCTGGGATATCAGTAATTATAGAGGAACAACCATCCTAATACCTCTAACAACACTCGAAGTCACTTAAGTAGGTCACAACCGATATAATCTTGGTCAAGTAAATCAACAATGGGGTTATTTATTTACTTATTATAACACATAGATATTGGTACAAAGAGGCACCAAACACATATACTCCACACCAATCTCATCTGATATGGGTGAGGGCTGTGATACTGCCCGGGTGACCAAACTGAAGCAGGTGGTTTTCTTAGGTGACCACACCCGGAGCCTTCAACCTGAAGGTCTGATCCATAAGGCAGTGGAACAACGTGGGGAGATGCAGTCCCATGGTAGCCAGTGACCAACGATTGGTTCATACGCCATTTGTTCCTTCAGGATACTGGAGCCCATGTGCACCATTGGTTTAGAATCAGGGTTTTCCAACTGCTCTAGGTGGATCCTCCATGTCCACCAAAGCCGCTTGGGGCGCCGAACATTCGCTTTTCATCCTCTGAATTTCGTAAACAACATCCCTGAGCTTCAAAATATGAATTGTACTGATTCTCAATTTTAAATCAAATTAACTGTCGAATCCATGTTTTATTTCACCATGAGTTCTGTTGGAAAGCCACTAGAAGTCAGAGAGTATTGAACAGGCATCTCATTTTTATATGAGACTTCTACATACAAAGTATCTATGACTACATAGATGATATCGAACCAAAACGTTTCAAGTTTCTATGTGGGCACAGTGAAACATGGAGAATTGTAACAATCATCATCTGAAAAGTGTAGGTAGTTATAAACAGCTATTCGCTTAAGAAACTCCAGATATATTGAACGGACACCATAGAAAAAACCTACTGCGAAAGAGAGAAAATCAATGTCCATTTAGAAAGGAAATTAAGGAAATATACTGGAAGCAGACAGATCAACCTTTACGAAGATCATCAAACTGCATCACAAAACAAGCCTAAACATGGAATCCTCAAGGCAAAAAGAAAGAAGACAAAGAGAAGAATACATTACGCCAAGAATTGGAGGCATGCATCGAAACAATAAATAGCACTTGACAATAACTCGAAAGCAGATCACATGTCAGTTAGTTAGTTGGAGAACTCGTTGTAATAGTTCGCTATCATTCCCTAAAATCATTCGAACTGAAATATCCTTTGGAAGGAATATTCAGAAATTAGGTACAAACTTGTTTAGTAAACGTTTAACTACACATTTTTTTTGTAAAAGTTACTATCAGTGTAGTGAATAAGTACTATGTCAAGCTTATACACATTACTCTACCTTCTGGACAGATCAATTTATTCATCCATTTTTCTTAAGCTACATTTGACATTGTCAGTCATTCGCTTATTCACTTTGACTGCTTTAATATGATCGTGTGTTAATTGCTTACCTTATTTCATAGAGTGTTTGTAATTTATTTTTGATCTGATTATAAATATTGAGTTACACTCGGTTAAATCGAGTGAGCTCATTTGCTTTGTTTCTCTGATTGTTTGTTTGGATCAATGAACGTATAAGGTATACATATTCAAAATTCATTCATATATTTGTCTTATTCCATTATACTCGAACTCAAATTGAGTCGATAAAAAGATACGAGAGTTGGCTGCATGTATCAGTCAGTCAACAACAACGTGTAGAATTTTGTACGTACGTACATCAGTTCGAGTTACCACACTACATTACCACAGAGATACAATTGTCCATTCAAATCCCGTAGTGGTAAAGGTAGTAAGAATATAAGCAGTAATCGGAAATATTAGGGTTTGAAGATGTTATTCAAGGAGTGCACCTGTGCACACCGTTGCAAATGATTTTGAGCCATGTCATTCAAGGTCTCTAACCATCGGTTGTTATGGTCTCGTGGATCCTAACCAGTTAGTCTACACCTACCAACATGGCTCACTCAGTCCACTTGACAATGACTTCATGGATTTGTTCCATGTTTTGGTCTGGCCATCCCTAGAAGTTGCATGCATATTTCAATATCAATCATCATACGATATAACTGGAGTTAGATGCAAGGCCATTTAGGTAGTATTCAAATGATAAACTCACGTAAATGGGACAGGGTTTTAAAATAAGAAACAACATTTCAGAATTAAGTATATCAAACACTAAGTCAATACATCATCATCACAACTATTCAATGATTAAACTTAAGTTAATGCATTAGGTTATAGCAGCTCACGGGCAATTGAGTTTGTTCACATTTAATTTGGTTAAACTCCTTTGTTGACTTATTTAAAGAACTGAGTCATTCGTACAACAACAACAACTTATCTTATAACATTGTATCTTTATTATTGTTGCACTTGTATGAATATCTATGCATGAGCACTTTGATGAAGAACCAATGAACATTGAGGTGTATAGGACAAGCTATGAACCACATGTGGAGAAATTCAAACACTTCACTTCTACTTGAAGTTTGTGTTGATGATGTCGTTCAGAAAAACGATGAATGCTCCACGACCAAACCATCCAGCTTAGAGAATAAAACTCCACCAAAATCATCCACCTGAGCTACAAATCTTCTTCATCATGCATGAGCCCTGGTTACTACCTACGCATATATGCATTCTGCTAGCCTTACTGTTAATCGCTTAGTTGATCTGATAATTCATGCATTTCCCCATGTATATACATATACATTTAATCCTGTTCATTGACTCGAACGCTTGCTCGCTAGCTTTTCGGCACTACTCTTTCATGCTTGCTTAACGTACCTGTAATATCAGTTATCTGTGCGTGGTGTAATAATAAACTTAATCAACACTTCGTATTCAACATTTGATTAATACATTGTTGAGGCGTTATCTACTGACGGTTATCAGGACGAACTATATACGAAATCTAAGGATTATATTGAATATCGACCACCATAAGGTAGATGTTTCTTTTAAAGAATTTATCCAGTACAATATTTACATTCAGTAAGCCATTTATATTTAACTCTTCATTAAAGTACAGTCTATCTGTCATTGTGTTCTATTTTTAGCAAGGTTGTTTTGTACGGAGCGAGATTCCTACAATTACAAAAACATATTGAAATCAAAACATAACTCTCAACCAATATCAAAGTCAAAATCTTCTATAAAAATATCAAGACAGTTCTACTGTACGGA